GCATATGCGTTCGGCTCGACTGAGCCGCTCGGCCACGTTCGGAAGCTGTACGGGCTATAGTGAATAGCCCGTACAGCAGCCCTTCGGTTCTACTGAACCGAAGGGGTCCTGGGGCCGAAGCTAGCAGAAGGATTGGCCGAAGCTATGGCTAGAGCGACTCCACTATATGGAGGAGCAATGAAGCTACTCTTGGACAACAGTATTGTCACCCTTTGGAGAGTGTGGTGTTAGATAGACTAGCAAACGTTGATGGACTTGACTAGCAGATTAAAGCTGAACTCCACTTTAACTAGTTACAGCAACAGAGTTTTTTTTGTTTTTTACCTTTTGGGATAAAGTTTTTACATAAATGAATAAAAGCTGACCATTGTAATCACCCCTGTCAGTGTTAAATGGTTTTTCTCAATCCTCCAAGTGCCACTTTGATTGGACAGCTTGGTCTGTTAAAGGAAGTTAAAAAATAGCAGAAGTCCTGGATGGATCATCAGGTGAAAATAAATTTAAAAAATTAAAAATGAATGCAGCCACCACATTTAAGAATTTCTAAGTTGTAATATGTTACATTTTTGTTTTGGGGTTTAGATACACTTTAAAGAATGTAATTAGTTGAGCTATCGTTAATGGAGGGATTTATTTCAGATTCCTTTAACCCGGATGCTTCCCGGCAAGTGGAAGTACATTTATGTGATTGTTTCTCTGCTCGCGCGCGCACAAACAGAATCCCGCCTGCAATGTAAACAGCCGTGCACAGTGCGGGCCCCCCCTCTGCTGCCCCCCCTCTGTTGTCGATGCCGTTTATCCCGGGCTCCGCTTTCCCCCCTGCGCTGCACAGGCCCGACAACACCGGCACAGCAGCTACTAGTAGAGAGAAGAGGAGAGATCTGCATTTCCCCCACCGCTGATCTCTCTTTCTCTCTCTCTATATGCGGAAGCAATTTGTATTATATCACTTCCGCCTTTAGCTGTCATTTGCCAGCGAAGAAGCTGGTGAAGCAGATATCTGCTTCATCAGCTTCTTTGGGGGTCCCAATGTGACATTAGGGGTCTTGGGGACCCCTGATGTCTCCATAAAGAGAACCTTTCATTGTATATTGGCTATCACATAGGGGGTTTTTTAGCAGTCAAGTGTAAAAAAAAAATTAAAGTCTCCTATTAAGAAAAATTTCAAAACACCAAAAAAAAGTCCCCAGCCCCCATGTGCACACATATATAAACGTAAATACGCGCCGGGTGTGCCTACATGCGAAAACAATGATTACGCCGCACATGTTACATATCGCCGCAAACGTCAGAGGGTGAGCAATAATTTTAGGGCCATTAATCACTGATCACACTAAACTGATGCGCGGTAAAAGCTTTCAAGCGTCGTGAATGGCCAATTTTAGGCATGGTAGTTTTTTGCGATTTTGCGGGTGCCAAAAACTTTAAAGCTTGACATGTTTGGTGTCTATTTTCCCGACGTGACCCCGTCTTTTATGTTTTACCAAAAAATGGGTAATAATAAATGTTTTATAACATATAGTAGGGGAGAACAGTTTTTTTTTTTTTACATTTTTGGTGCTTTTTCATTATATAGTAAAAAATTAAAACCCCCAGTGATTATTAAATACCGGCAAAAGAAAGCTCTATCTGTCCCCAATAAATGGTATAAAATTAATTTCAGTACAGCGTTGCATGACGGAATAAATGTCAGTCAAAGTACCGCAGCGCTGAATACTAAAAAATGGCCTGGCCAGGAAGGGGGTTTAACACTTTGGTCAGCAAGTGGTTAAAAATGTAAAGTTGAATTTTATGTTCTATAAATGTATTTGACATACTCCCTTTGTATCTGTTTATCCAAGTACAGTGCTGGAAATTGTTCAGAACTAGCTATTCATCTCTTACTGGTAATCTGAGCACTCAAAGTAAGCTGCATCCCAGGCATTGTCTACCGAGCATGGCCATGTTCTCCAATGCAAACACACATGCTGTGTACAAAGGTGCACAAACAAACCAGCATCAACCCAGGCAACCCTCACTGAGGGTGAGAGTTCCACTTTAATAAATGACAACCAGAACACTTACAACTAATCTGAACACATATCAGCTTTAATAAAACCTTTACTGTTATAACGACTATTTATTACTATGTGGAAGACTTTCAGTGGCAATAAACCTAAATAACAAGTCAGCATATATGGAACAGCTTTAAAAAATGATTAATGCTACATGCACACGGCGTAAGAAACTATCTGATCATATTTTTTGTATTTACGAGCAAAAATTTCCAGCGTACTGATCAGTAAGATGTTTGATGAATCTAAATGCACGCGACCATAAAAAAAACACAATGCAAAGTGTTTTTATTAATGGATCTGAACGCAGGTGTATTGTTTTCAATGGTGCCATGCACACAGGTGCGTAAACATGCTCTGCGTTTAGATCCGTAATACAAAAACTTGCCCCCGAGAGCATACATTTGATGTGCATATGCATGTAAACATATGTTTAAGCGTATATATGCGTAAGTGCGTAAACGAGGTTCAAACAAAATTACACTGAAAACAGAGCAGGAGGAATGGAACAAGAAATTGACACATTTAAACGCATACATGTTTACACATCTATACGCAAGCATTTTACTGATCATTACCTAGAAATGTTTTGACCAGAAAAAAAAAATGGGTATATATTTGGTACATTTCTTTACGTCCATGTGCAAGTAGCCTCAAATTTATGTACTCAGACACAGATTTTTTGATTTTGTATTATAGATCTAAAGGCGTTGCATGTGTACACACTTGTATGCATGTCCCTATTGAAAATAATATACAGTACCTGCATTCTGATCCATAAATAAAGAACTTATTTGCATTGGGTGTTTTCATTGCCCTGTGTATGAGGCCTAAGGCTTTACATGCACATGGGCATAAAGATTTACCGATGTACATATGTTTATGGGTTTTTTTACCAAAAAGTTCCACCGGAAATGACCAGTAAAATTCTTGCACTTGGACGCGTAAATACGTGTGTGCAAAATTCTCGCCCCATTTCTCCTGCTCTGTTTTTGATGTAATTTTCTTGTTTGGACTTAATTTACGGGCTTAAAATGTATGTACTTGGATTTTTCCTTTTTTTTTTTTTTTACAAATCTGAAAACTATAACATCTCAACATTACTATGATATTTATTACATTATGGGGAAGATATATTTTTACACACACACAACGACTAATTATAATTCCATAAAAATACTATAAATGTATGAGCCTCTTTTAGCCTAAAATGGTGTATAACATAGAACAATAGCCTGTACAGCAAATTTAAGTACAATGTCAGAAGTCTCACCATCTGTGCATACATCATAGGAACATTCTCTTATCACTGAATTGATATTTAAGCGCTTGTTCCAGGTAATTATAGTAATGTATGTTTTTTTTCAGCCCTTGAGAGACCAAAGCACACCTGACTTGTGCCATCCATTACCAGCTCCTGTGAAGAGGGTGAAGCCTCCCCATGTCCTCTCATTCCTGCACTCATCAAATGATAACGCAGGGCTATTCAGGCTCCATGGACCACAGTAAAGAAGCATTCATTAAGCCGATGAATACCATAGAAATGTATGGATCCAGCATAATCAGGTTTCCTCCTGCAGGCTGTAGTTAGGGAGTAAGCAAGCAGCCCTGAGAATAGGAGCTACTGTTAGGAAGAAGTCATGCATATAATTGACTATATTTAACATAACCATTTTAATGATCACTTATTAAAAGTGCATTTATTTAAATTGGTGGGGTCTACAATTTGTCCAAATCAACTTTATAAGTTAAAAAAAGGGTCACGATGTCAGCGAAACAGGTTTTCTGGATTGCCTTGGGCCAGATGAGGGATTATGTGTCATTGTATTATCAGCTACTAGGGTTTGCTAGATCTTTACTATGACAGTGTAATATCAATTAATCATTCATAAGGCGTCTCGTTAGCACTCTTAAGTAGCACTAGACAGAAGACCTTGCAGGCTCCCGGGAGGCTCTAAAGCAGCAGGATTAACAAAAGTGTCCAGCTGTTGTGAAACCTGCTGAGATCTGTAGTTCCACAACAGCTGGCCAGCAGCAGTTACCCCGGGTGTCCCTCCAGTAGATGGTGCTTGCATTCTGCAGATGTGATGGCAGGTAAGTGGCACTGGGCAATATTCCACAACATGGAATATACTTTTATTCTACTGGAAGGATCTTCCCAGTGCTTGTCATCCCTGGATGTCACTCAGCACAGCCTTGTTCCACCTATTTACAAACTCACACTGGCAATATTCAGTACACAAAGGTGTACACACATAGGGAGCAGGTACCGTGTTATTGATGGGGATGCTGACTACGACTAAAAGATGATGATGGAATAATCCTATGTGATCAGATATGAAGAGCCAAGCAGCATGAGATATGTATTTTGTGATGTATTGTGTAATGTTCTGTGTCTGTGTGTTTCTGCTCTTCTGGGGTTTGTGTATACATTGGGGGAATTTATCACAACTGGAGCAGACAAAAACTGGGGCAGATGTGCATGGCAACCAATCGGCTTCTCTCCTTCATTTTCAAATCTTAACTGAACAAACTGAAGAGAGAAGCTGATTGGTTGCTATGCACATCTGCTCCAGTTTTTGTCTGCTCCATTTTTTATAAATTCCCCTCATTGTATTTTATAGTTATTTTAATTGACTTTAAATAATACTTTAATTGGTAATTGAATGTCCAAAACAAGGCTACTTAAACTCTACTCGAATACAAGACGATTGTTAATAGTAGCAAATTGTTGATATTATTAATAATAATACAAAATTAATAGTAATAATAATAAATAATGTTGGGTACTCTTATCATGTGGTCAAAGTGTCACGCACCCTGCCAGGAATTAGATCCCTCAGCTCTCCTTATTCCTTGTTGTTCTGTACTAGCAGGGAGATTTGGAACTTCTGGAAAAGTAGGGCATGCCAGATGGCAATAGCGTCATTCACAAACAAACTTGGGGATGTGCTGCTGAAGCCTGAAATTGGGAAGGAGACCCGGGGAACAAAGGACACTGCTGTCCCTTAACTGGCAGCCAGGGTTTGCAGAAATGCTCCTGCCTGGTGCAGTGTAATGAATGGCTGGACCCCCCTCCTTCCCTCCTGTCAATGAGAGGCACTGAGAAAACTTTCTGCGCTGGGCAAAAGTGACATTTTATGTATTAAGATGTGTAATAAGATATGTATTAGATATGTTTTGGGATGTACAGGTTATAAAACAGAGGAACATAAGCATGTCACTGCAAGGATCCCATAAGACCTATAGGGGGTTATAGATGGTTATAGATACTGTCGCCTCCACAAGTTGTCATATCGCATCCCTAAGTCCAATGTAGAAGGCGGACCATGGCGATGTACAGGGATCACCGGGCCCCGGGGATTTAGCCTCCAGGCATTATTCCAGTCACAGGCAATTATAAAGGATTTCAGACGACTTGTATAATAAGCTACAATAAAAAACGATGGCTGTGCACCTGCATTTCGCAGCAACCAGGATCTGTGAGCTATCATGGCGTCTGTACATTGATAAATATGGCGATTCTATCTCCGCTGGTGTCAGATGTTAAACTGTATTTAATGTTTCCTCATTTTCTTGCTCGCCCTGCATTGTATTCATTGTTAATTATTTTCATTATAACCATAAAAATACAATAAAGAAGCGAGTTTGAAATAACTATGTACATTTTTATGTGAAAGATCTCTGCCGCAGATTGGTAACAAAATGTTCGTGGATATTCGCGAATTATTGGAACGCTTGAGAAAACCCTAAATATTTTTGGTTGACAGACTACAAAAAAAATCCTTAACTGAGCTCTTGCAAACATGCAATTTTTCATGTTTAACTACAAATAACAAAACTACTTATCCGACAATAATTTCTATTTGGTATAAACGGGAAACGAATAATGCATCAATCATGGCCGTCTGGGCTTTAAAGTGAGCGCAAAGTTGCGCAGTTTCCCTTCCTCTATAGACATTGTTTTATAGGCAAATATTTATCCGACAATGGAAGTGTTTTTAACTGGACAGTTACATTGTTCTACAAACAACACATTTGCATGGAAACAAATTAAATATGTTACAACCGTTCCCATGAAGACGCCGCAGAAGCTAACGAATGTTGCAATGATTATTATTTACTGAAATCCAGCAAGTGGATTGAGGTGGGAATGAAGTAGGGTGGAATTAGAAGGAGAGAGTTTGGGATGTTTTGTAGCCTTATTTCTGTACTTGTGCCCCCCTTCCCCTCCTCCTTCTCCTCCTGCTTCTCCCAGGATCCGATGCACTAGGATCAAGAATGCCATACATCATCACAGTCCCCTGCTGTCCCTGCTTAAAGTGCATCAAAGCTGACATTGTTCCACGCTTGGGGTGAGCCAGCAGGGACAAGCAGAGGATCAGCATTTGTTCTGGCTCCTGTGTGGGGAAAAGTTCCCTTCCTCTGTGCGTTGTCACCTCACTCACTCTTCTGTGCAAGCAGATAGCGCAGCCTAACACCAGCCCATGCAAAGGTGTGTGTGTGTTTTTACAGTGCAAATGCAATAAAATGCACACAAAAAACGACATATTTGTAAGACTTTAAGTAATTCAGCCGCTAAGGAGATGTGTTACTAAATGAGTTATGAGGCTGATTTACTAAAGGAGTGGAGAATGTTCATAGAATAAATTGTATGAATGTTCACTTTAATTATCCAATGCAAAGGGCAAATTTCTGTTTACTTATTTCAACTGCACATGATAATTGATGTGAATATTCATATCATTTATTGAGTGAACATTTTCAACTACTTTAGTAAATCATTCTCATTGATACCCTAACCCAGACAGCAGAAAACATGATTTTTTTTATGGAAACACACTTTTAGTAAAAATAGATTGTATATAGCTAGCGATAAGGGTCGCAATATAGCCACAGTGTAGATAAGGAGTTATTATAGCGCTGGCATGGCAGTGCGCAGTAGGTCTCCCAGCAGAACTAGAGATCTGTGTGTCTGGCTGCGGGTTTGTACACTTCTCCAAGTTGCTGAAATTTAGGCTGAGGCCGTACCTTCCATATATAAACAATTCATTTCCACAAGTCATCTTCACAAATCTCTACAATTACATTGCTATTGTTCTTCCCCAACAACTTCAGCTAGAGAGAAAAGGTCTTCCCTGCCGGAGTCCTCCCAGCCAAGGGTTGAAGTTATTAAATAATAAAGCTATTGTGAATGACATTGTTGTTCAGAAAAATAGGCCAATTATCCGCTGTTATACTGCCCTAAAGATCATATTAACTCGAATTAGTAGCCCTGATGTGTCGCTGCTTTTTATTTGTCTGCTAAAGAACAAACACAAGACAAGAATGCAAGGAATGGCAATATACTCCTGAAAATTGGAACAAAGATTGGGGTGTACAGTATACCGAATTCCTTTCTTTTTTAATCCATGCACTATTTAAATTGGGCATCCTCCATGAGGCCATAAGGAAGCGCCTGAGAAAAAAAAAACCTAGTGCTGATTTGGCTGATTTTTTTCAGCAGGTCACTATTTTTTGCAGCATGCAGATAGACGTTTTTAGAAGGGAAGGTAGTGACTCCCCAATGGGCAGAAAGCATGCATTAATCACAGGGATTAATTATGGGTCTGTACATGAATACAGCACAAAGGCTTTCAATGAAGAGGGGCAGAGAAAAAAAATAATGGCAGACTGGTGGCCGCACGTCATACACAGGGCTCTCCATACCTATAATTTGGGGACTCTGCAGTACACACCGGAGTCAGCTGAGCGCACCCGGGGACAACTTGCTGACTGAAGCCCATTGACGCGTCCCAATCCCTGCAGCAACCTCCATCTCCTAAAACATATAAAAAAAATAGGAACATTACCAACCACATTCCAGCCAAGTCACATCTCTCAGACACTGATGAAGCTGTGCCTTCTTCTAATTCCCTGTCAGATTTTTTTTCACAGTGTCATAAAACTCTACTTACTGTGATGCAGAAAAATAGCAAAACAATAATTCATGCTTGTCATTTTTTTTCCTGCTTAACGGTCTGCAGTTAAGTAGACCCTGGTGTAGGCGATGCCGTTTGTGCTGTGATCAAACTTTTTCCGGTTACATGGCTTTTTATAAGCAAACAAGAAGCAATTTGCGCAGTGCAATGCTCCAGCAGATCCACCCAGAGTCTTAATCTGCTCCATGCAGAGGACAAGGACTACCAGGTCTGCAATGAGGTGACAATGACAAGAAGGAAAACTCTATTAGAAGCAATCCTACCTCAACTAGGGTATGAGTGGCATCAGATTTGGGCTTGTGGGTGCCACCCTGGCCAACATTTCCTTTAAGTTAAAAAAAAATACACATAGGCGATTGATGTGGCTAATGGGACTTGATTGGGAATCTAATAATAAATCAGAAGGCCCCTCAGAGATGTTACTTGTTACAGATAATTGGCAATAGGTCGGTTCGTTTAACAATATACGAATTTTGCTGGATCAAATGCAGA